CATACAAAAGGGATCTGTACAGAGTGAACAGTAAGAAACACAGTTGTAGTATAAAGACTTAAAGCATGAAAAGACATGGATTAAATAGACTGAGACAGTATGTGACCTTCTCAGTCTTGAAACTGATGTATTCCAGCTGTGTTTGTTTTTATCATTACTTTTTGTTATTATTATGTAGACTGATCTGTGATAACACTTTGGTATGAGACTATCATGGACAGATTAAGAAATACCTTAATTTATTTACTTTTCAATCAAAATGGACATGAAGTCATTAATTTTTTAAGCAGATATTTCTGAGGAGATCAGATATTAGATACTCCACTTACATAAGGAAAGAGAAAGTCAAATAGACAGAAGTGGAAAAAAAGAAGAGATTGAAAAAGATCAAAAGTGATTCAAATACACAGTTAAAATGTGACTCCTAACAACCACCTGCAAGACCTGGTAGACCACTCAAAGTGTCCCCATCAGATAAACAGCACTTAAAGCTTTCATCTTTGAGAGAGAGGAGAAAATAAAGCTGCTTTAGATCTGAAAACATCCACAGGTGTTTCTGTCCATCCTTCCACTGTGAGAAGACAACAAAACACTATGAGTCTGAAAGGATGTGTAGCTGTCAAGAAGTCTTTATTGAGAAAAGCAAGAACTTGCAAATAACGATAAACGATAGACTGACCTCACCAGAGTCCAGACCTCAACATCGCTGAATGTGTTTGGGATTCATTTGGATCGTGAAAAAAAGGAAAATGCATCCAACTTCTAAATCTCAACTTTGGAGGTGTGGAAAAATATCCCTGCAGATTTCTTTGAAAAACAGGAAGCTCAGTGTGTACCTGTGTTGTATTTTCTTATATAGGCTGCTTATTGGAAAATAAATAAATAGATAAAAAATCTGCAGCAATAACCTGACCTACAGGTTCCTGATTCTGGTTCCAGAACTAATTTGGACTGATATTTGTCCTTAGACAAACAAAACAAAAATATATATAGCGCTGATGTGTCTATTTCAGTGTATTATTGTATTTTTACTCAGTATACGTACTTATTACTGATTTAAGTACATAATTTTATTATTACTATTATCCTTATTTTATTATCCATAATATGGATACAGTAACAAGCAGTACAGTTACTTACATGTGTTGACAGCAGGGAAAATTTGACAAACTACACTTGCTCCAATGCAAATGATAATTATTTAATAAATAAACAAAACAATGAACAATGTTTGATTGACAAAGGTAGCAAAACTTTATTTAACAGACAACCTAAACACCTCTTATGTCCTTTTAATAGCCAATTTGTAACTGTATTTTTGTTAAAACAAAACAAAAAAAAATGAATCCTGTTACAGTATAATTCTTCATTAATCCTTCAAACAGACTGTCATGCCACTGCGGTACCACAGATAAATAACACACAAATAAAACACCACCGTTTTGCGATCCCAAACTCCCAACTAAAATTCTTCACCAATAAAAACCACATAAAATCCATTTATTCAGTACAAGTAAGAAGAGAGAGAAACTAACTCAAAGTATATTTTTTTAAATTTATAATTTATTTGGTATATGTGTTCTTTAATTACAAAATAAACAGTCATGGAACACAGAAACTAAAAAACAACCCAGAAAATAAACTGACAATAAAGCTGAACTGGCCAATCACATGACAGGTGTACAAACGAAGAAACTAAAAGACTGAGAGAAAATGGTGGAACAGTCTTTATTGGCTCGTCATACAGTGCACTCTGGAGCATCAGAGCTCGTCGTGACGCAGAGGTTCGTTGCTAGGTTGGATGAAAACTCCTTCCATCACTTTCCAGTAGTTGTGCTGATTGGCCGAGGGCATTCCGTGGACCTCTCTCTGACCTCTGATTGGATGGCCGTACTGCTCTCCAGTTACGCTGAGGAAGACGCTGGTGCCAACATGTTTGAACCGAACGGCATCATCACGCTCCCAGTATGTGCCGCTGCACTGGACTGTCCACACGTCTAAATCGTCCCCCTCGCCGTTCTCCCCAAAAGCACTAACCTCCTGCGTGCAAAAAACAAAGCGTTTTAAATTGGTTAAAGACATAATACACAGTACGTGAGAACAAGACAGTTCAGACAGCAACACTCTTAGTAAAAAGGATTCTGCAGTTGCATGTAAATGTTTAAACATCCCTAGTCAAATTACACTTAAATATGGCTTAAATATGGAATTTTTCTGCAAATTTTGCACAATTTTTTATTTCTTTGCCAAGTTTCAAATATTGGAAAAAATAAAACATAAACCATAAAATATGCCATAACTTTTGCACAGCCCACATTTTTTATATATATATATATATATATATATGGTACTTGTGCATTAATGTGCAGAAGTATGTCCTCTGTAGGGGATGTGTTAACTTATTTTCACTTAGAAAACCAACAAAACATGGCATTTTATTAGGGGCACCCAAGCTGTTGCATTTGACTGTACATAGTACCAAAAAAAGGTTATATCACTTGTAACAGTGGCAAAACCCTTTGTGGTGCTATACAGAACCATTGTTAAAAGGTCCTTTAAACATCCATATACAACAGGCTTTATATCTTAGAGAAGAGCCATTAACACATTAAATAGTTATTTGAGCAGTCACAGTGGTATATATTACCACTGCCTGTACCAAAGAACCCTGGAATCACTTCTTTAAGAATAAAGTGACATGAGCATGTAAGAGATATTTTACAAGTACATTTTGAACGTGTTTATTTACTACAGAAAAAACACTTCTGTTTCCCTAAAGAACCTTTAAATGCATGGTTTCATTTTTAAAAGAAATGTGTGTAAAAAAAAAATTAAAGCCCACAAATCAATTTCTCATTTTTCTGCAGGTAAATATTAACTTTGACAGGTAGACTTGCTGATACAGATACTGATATCAAAATAAGAGTCTGATACAAGCGTGTTTAAATGTTTTATTTTTCTGCAGTGAAATATTTACATTTGACAGGTAGATCTGCCTCACTCACCAGATATTGATATCAAAATAAGAGTCCCATAAAAAATTATTATATACATACTTGACAGACAGGTTTGCTTCACCCACTAGATTCCACTATCAAAATAAGAGTCCCATATAAGCATGTACTGTATAAACTTTATTGTATTATTGAAAAATTCCTTAAAAGGGTGATAATGTAATAATGTTAAGGTTCTAGACCAAAAAATGATTTTTTTCCCCAGAACCATTTAGGAGCCTTTACTTTTAAAGTGGGACTGAGCAGACTTCTCAATGTCACTTTCCTACTTCCCTTCCCTAACGTTGGATAATGTTATACCATAAATCCATTTGAGAGAATGGTTATCTGGCTGTAAGGAGAGCCGAGGCCAAATTTTTACATTTCTTTTGTGTGTGTTTGTGTGTGTGTTTGTGCATGGGTGGGTCAGAGAGAGAGTAAGAGAGAGAGAGACAGTGACAGACAAGAGAAATAACCAAATTACCTGGTTGCTGGACAGGGGAGAGCTGAAGTGGTGAGTATGGAGGTTGCGTCCTGTTTTCATATGAGTGAAACGGACGGCTTGTCCACACTTAATGGGCACTCCTCGCTGGCACGTTTCATTTGGTTTACCACGGATACGCCAGTAACTGTTTGCATCGTCCGCTGAATCCACACCAGTTACTGACTGCTGCCCGCTGCCTACAGGATTGAGTTACAATAAACCACAATATATATTAAAAAAATTTTTACAAATTTTAAAAATGACATGAATAAGAACATCACTTCCTATCAGGATACATTACTACTATCAAGCAAGTGGTAGTAAGTCTACAGGGTTGATGTGTCATCAGGATATAGAGGATGTAAACAATAGAGGATCTACACACTCAGAAAAAAAAAAAAAATTAAAGTGATACAGGGGCAATCCCCTCTTGTCTCTTGTCTACCCTCAAGAGCACATCTCAGTACCGTTAGTCAGGGAAAGTAAGGGGATAGTTGTACCATAATCCATTGAAAATATATTTTTTAAGTTGTATTGACTCCACACACCACGTCTCGTCTCCAGATTTTAATTTTATTGTTCTGTTTTAAAATATTAAGTTATGAAAAGGTGCAAATATGTACTTTTCACCTGGAAAACGTATTTAAGGTGCACAGTTGGACCTTAAAACCACTGTTGTACCTTTGAGGGTACGTTTACATTGTCTGTACCTTGATAAACAAAAATGTAACTGACTTTATTTTATTTCTAACAGTGTAATGATTAAGGTCTTCAAGACCATTCTTCCCCCGAATGACAAGTAATGTGGTAACACACACTGAAAATATAATTCTTCAGTGACCTCTTATGAAAAATGAGCTAAGAGTTTCACCAGATTTGTGCAAAAAAAGTCTAGACAACTACAATTAGTTTATTACAGGACACTACACAATTTTAATAGTTTACTATAAGACAGTACTACAGAAATATTATACAGAGGCAAAAATGTAGAACATTATAAAAGTATAATACAGCACTAGTTTCTTTTAACAGTAATACAGTTATCCTTTTGTAAGGGACACTTTAAGTCCAGATTTAAGTTTTGGGTCAGAGATTTGGTTTACGTATAGCCTGTACGCAACAAAAGTGGAACTCTTCCCTGTTGACCTGAATCATGCTGCTCCATTAAGACACAAGACGGTAAGTTAAAGCAAAAACGACACGTTCCCTACGCTTCGGTTATGAAAATGAATATACTGATAATGAAGAGTTCATGAAATCTGCAGTAAAAGATTAAAGACAGGAAGAAATGTTTGCAGCCCTCGAACCAAAACCTGTCTGCATTCAAGCGAGGAAACACTACACTGCATGACCATTATTGGCTGCCATTAGCATCGCTGCTAAAAAGAAAACCAACCGGCTGGTCCAACGCGAGGCTGAAGTCAGCTTCCTATTCGCCAGGTTCTTGTTCGAATTTTCCCGTTCCACCTTAAATGGTGCCGCCGACATAACGTAACTGCTGCACTATTTAGGGTGGAACGGGGAAATTCGAACAAGAAGCCAGCTTCAGCTTCGCTGGTCCAACACAGCCGCCTGTAACATGAAAGCTCATCACAGCTGAAGGTAAATTGATGTTCAGAGATGCTGCTCGTGCTCCACGTGTTCGCAGGTTGGGGTGAGTGAACGTGTCCAGCAGGTGAGTTTACCTTACCTGAGCCGTATTTGACATCATGTGAATGCAGCCTGACGTTGTGCCGTGTGTTCAGCAGCTTCACTAAAGATCCACATGTAACGTAACCGGAGTCCGGGTCGCGGCCCTGACACGCGCCAAACACGACAAACAATACAATAACATCTAAGCAGACGCGGGTGGTCTTTAACGGGTCCATGCTGTGAGCGGGATTTGTTTCTACATAACAGCTAAGAGAGATAAAGAAGACAGGCAAGCCGCACTCACACACCAGGGCAGCTGCGAGCCAATCGCGGCACGACAAGTCCGAAAACAAGGAAGCAGCGCGCGCACACACGGAGGTCCGTGATTGGTTGAGGATGAAATGACGAATCAATGGCTGCGTCCAAAAACACATGCGCTACTATATTATAGTGCCTGTATTAATATAGTGCGTATAGTACAGTTGTATGTGGTTTGGGACGCAGCCAACGTAACCAAAGCAGAACGCTGCAGCCGTTAAAGTGTTGCCTAATGAGCTGGGTTGGGCTGAATACTTCGAGTGATGACTGAACACTGAATACACTGTCCTAAATGTATTCAGTAACGTATTCCATTACAATAAATAAATAAGCAACATATTCAGAAAGCATTTAGAATACATGTTGATTAGACACATGGACTCACTGTTTTTCGCTGTTACTGGTTGGCAGGTTTTTTCATGAAATTATCCTTTGTGATACGTTTGATGAGAAATTCATTCACATAATTTAAATGAGTTTTTTCTCTCTCATCACCTTCTTTAATCTATTGCTGCTCCCACAATCACCCAAGCAGAAGTTCAGTACAATTCTGATACTAAACCCTCGCAAACATCTACACTACTGAGGAGATCACTGGTTTGATCGTCAACCAATAGAGCTCAGTAACACTGGGATTAACTGGCTTAACACTTTGGTTTATCAGTCTACTCAGGCTTTAGTAGGAACTTCAGTGTTTGTAAAGGAGACGTTAAATGAGGTCCTCTTTAGAGCACATCTAACCAGCATGTTTGCTACATTGCATGCACTGATTTTAAAATAGTTAATAAACAAGCACTGGTGGGGTTTCTTTTGAAGATTGGAAGTTTTTTTTTTTTATTTTGTGGGTATTTGAAGTATTCTCCTAAAATGTAAAAAGTAGCTGTATTCTGAATACCGCCTTTACAAAATGTAACCTGGACTTAATACAGATACTTAATTTCTGTATTTTGAATACGTATTCCTAATACTTTCATTCCACTACATCCCCTCCCTGCTAATGAGTGGGTGTCTCACATCAACTCATTTGTTGAAATTACTCATATAAAATTTAGTGACACATACAATTTCTTGTATAACCCTCAGTTACTTGGGTAAATCTGGCTAAGATCAGTTCATTTGGATAAGTCCTAAGGACTCAAAAGTCTTTTGTGCAAAAAGCTTCACAGCATTCTTAGCGGTTTTGTCAGTTTCTGTTAATTAACTCTTATTTTTCTGATTTATAAATATAATTCTCTTTGTGAAATGTTATATTTGTGTTATAGCATACTCTCATGTTAAATGTGAAGTTCGCATTTTACATGTTTTTATTATTCTCACCATGAGGGTGTTTTGTGTTCAGGTTTACCAGTTCATCCTATAGCCATACACACCAGCAGTGTGGCAAACATGCACTAAACTACTAGGGTTCTTTAATGAATGCTAGTACATTACACAAGGAAGAATATTTAGTTCAAGTTAATCTAACTAATTCAAGAGTAAGCAGCCCTGGAGAAAGTAGAGTACTGCCAGCTCAATAAAAAACATTTATAATGATTGGGCTGTTTGAGTTCATTTTACTTGCTGCAGAAGTGTAGATCACTGAAAATTAGAAAGTAACTATAACTCATACATAAAACCTGAACATTGAATAATAATAATAATAAATGATGTGTTTTTCATTTAGGAGAAATATCAAGGTGCTACAAAGGTAAGCTCAATACAATGATAAAAGCAAAGCATTTAGAAAAGGAGAGCACAAAGCTAAAATAAAAAATAAATAAATAACAAAAAAGCAGCAAGCTTCAAAATAAAATACCTCTATACCATGTTTAATGTCACACTATAACATTTTAATAGACCTTTCTACATAAAATGTCTTTAAGCTGGTTATAAAAACCAGTCAGTGTCTGTGGAACCCTCAAACAATCAGGAAGGGCATTCTTTTAAAATAATTGTATTGTTACATCACTAATATTAACCACACATATAACGACATCTGTGTATGTCATGGGATGACAAAGACAACTGACAGTGCCACTGCATTGCCCTGCTTAACCTGAACTCATCCTACAGATCACATCTTCTAATATTATGGTTGTAGTGAAGTAGAATTCTACTGTTTATTTCTGAATAATTTCTTTACTGAGATGAAAACAAGGTCGTTCTGTGGTCTGATGTCGAAAGGTACATTTTTAAGAAACTTACCAACTCATATTTCAATACAGTGGTGGTGACAGGAAGCAGGGATCATGGTGTCAACACAAATCTAGCAATTTTACTAACTATCCAAAACCACCAGACAACCTGCATGTGACTTATTACGGTTGCTACATTTAATGTTAACAATGGTAAAATAATGTTAACCTTAAAAAAAAGTTTTCTTTGAGGACTACTTTGCCTTACAACGCCCTTTCTCTCATAATTGCATTTAAAAATAAAATTTAGGCGAATCTTATCTCAAAATTATTTTAACAATGTTCCGGGCATCAGGCCACATTTTTTCATAGCAATTATGTGTATCACTTTCCTGTGATATAGCTTTTATAAGCATTACAAGGTTCGAATGTCTGGTTCGGACAGTTCTGACTTTGTAAGTTTTTCTATAATATCACATTTTGCATCAAATCACTACTGACTTACTTTACATCTTAAGGGTTTCATAATAGAGAAATTTTAAAATATTGGTGGAAGTCCCCTTTAAGTCAGAATCTAATGAAGGTGGCTAAGCTGAACTGTTAGTAACACCTCGCCTCCACATGTGCGGTGTTGCTGTGGTTGTGGGATGCTCATGGTCTCTGGCTGCTGGATGCAGGCAGCCTCCTCCCTTCAGATCTGGTCTGAGGAAGGTGGTGTGCAATGCTTTTGAGCGCTTAATGATCTGAGCTGCCCCTTCTGCTCCACTGGCATGCACTGTGTTCAGCGCAACTGTGGCCAACAACAGCTGGAAAATAAAGCACCATGACTTGTGCGAAAGCGGTGTCTCTTTTAATAGCAGTGAACGCTACAAATTCACAGTAACTGGCCCACTGGGAATTCCCCCGACAACCCACTCCAGCAGCCTCAAATTGATAAGAGCTAACATTCAGTGACGAGCTCTGCTGGAGAACTAGTTTATAATCAGGCAGCATATGACTCTTTACGAGTCCTTGTTTAAAACTGAATTATAGGCTAATCAGAAGAATGTTATCTTATCTGGCACCAAAAATCATCTGGCGACTTTATGGCTCATTACATTGTTTCCTTTGGAGTTCTAGAACTCTAAAATTTCTTTTGTGATGTCCTTCCATTGTTGTGTCTTGAATGGAAAAATATGGAAATTAGGCTCTATACATATTCATAGGCCTAGCTCAATAGCTGAAGATCATAAGAGAGGGGTAATAGGCATGGTGTGGTGTGATCTCAATGGGTTAAACACAAGAGAAAAGACCACACCCACACACACGTGGGAAAAGCCACACATTTGCCTGTTGAGTCACTCTTAAACGAAAGCAAAATCTGGTCAATTCCCAGGATGAGTGATGTGTGGTGCCTTATCAAATTTGGGCAGAGTAGCTTTAAACCAGAAAAAAAGACTGCAACTCATGACTCAAGTAGAAGTAAAACTACCTGCCAAAAACACTTTAAATAAAAAAGTAGAAAACACATAAAATGCTCTACGTGTTGTTGAGCTGAAATAAACTGCTACAGCTGGAAAGTGAGAGGCAACAGCAAAATGTGACACATGCTGAGCCAACAGAACAGAATGAAATTCAACCCTAAAATGATGTGAGTAACAAGAAGATTCCTTATATATTAGTCAAACATGCTTGTGAATAAGCAGTGTCACATTTTACTGTTAAGACGGAAATACTGAGCATTTAAAGGGCCCTACATCCTACTTTTTTCTTGTATTTCATTTATTTCCTTGAGATCCACTTGAAACTTTGGTTTATGTACAAAATTGGTCATAATTCATTTTCACATGATTATTTTTCAGCCTCTCTATCACTTAGAATTAAACAGGCTGTTTTTGTCACTGTGCCTTCATAACTTAAATATGCAAAAAATCTCTAATTTGATTGGCTGCCCTGTATCGTGCCTAGTTCAAAAAGTGCTCAGAAGCTGAAACTCTCCTTAGAACTTCAACATGAACGGGTAAACAGCTGTAGGCTGAATAGGTGGATATATGTAAATGAGCTGGTTCTTGTGACATCACAGAAACAGTGATTTCAAAACAGGCTGTTTTTGCAGCTTAATGTCCATATATGAACAGCAAGGACTGAGTAATGGACGGTGCATTTTGAAACTTTAACAATGCTTATATATTATTTTAGACTTCATTTGAAAAAAGTGAGAGAAATTCGTTTTTCCAATATATATGACCCATTTAAAGATTTTTTTACTAGAACAGTACATCCAACTGAAGAACCATTTAGGAACCTTTCTTTTTAAGAGTATTTAGCTGAAGGGGTTGGGCATTGCAATCAGCCTTGATAATAAAGGAGCAATGCCAGAGAAGAACGACTTTTTGTTCCCTAAAAAAAACCTTTCAATAGATGCTTCTTCAAAGAATCACTTTTGTAAATGTAAACCTTCTTTTAGAGCTTCCAAATAATATAAAGGTTCCACACTAATTAAAGATTTTTCCCAAAACAGAACATCCGAGCAAAGAACCGTTTAGAATTAGGAATGTTTTTCATTTTAATTTTAGGAGCGTATTCAGTTAAAGGAGTTGGACATTCAGTTCCTTTGAGTGATGCCAGAGAAGAAACACTTTTGGTTCCCAGACAAACCTTTCAGTAGAAGCTTCTTTAAAGAACCTTTCTCTGTAAATGACATGTTATAGTGTGAAGATTCTTTTTAAAGAGTCATCACATAATGTAAAGGTCCTACACCAATTATCCAAGACAAGAACCATTTAGGAACCTTTATTTTTAGTAGTGAGCTCATCTGAAGGGGTTGGACATTGATTTCACTCTCATAAATAAAGGTGCCAAAGGTGCTCCTTGGTGCAAACCAACAAAACCTTTCGTTCTCTACAGAACATTTCAACAGATGGTTCTTTAAATAAAAAGTAGGCGACGTTCTTCACAAATATAAACGTCTAAATCATTTTTCTACTTTTCTACAATTGTTTTTTCATCACTCTTTTGCCACATACTCTCACTGTTCTCTTTATCATCTCGTCTTTTCACTTCATCACCCCATGCGCAGGGCGGAGAAGCGTTCAAATAAATATTTTTGCAATAAAAACAAATACTCATCTTACACGGGTCGTTTTCATATCTCACCAACAGGGGGCGTCGGAAAGGAAGTGGCTTTCAGTCATTCCGTTTCATGAACAGCTCCCATGCGTCATTTTCCCACCTGCATTCAGACGAACCTCGTCATTCTGCACTGCGATTGGCTGGTGTGAAGCCCCTCCCCCTTCCACTGACAAAATACTTATGGGCATGGACCAGTAGCCAATCGTAGTGCAGGAGGGCGGGGCTTATAGGAATAAGGGTGGAGGCAAAACAGCTCAAGCAGAAGAGGACAAGGCGGCGAGTCAACCTCAACCGGCACCAATGGCACAGAAGTGAAATGGGTGAGTGATCATTTCCTCTGTTCCTCCGTCTCATACATGGAGTTCTTTCATGGGGCAAAGCTGGTTGGAGTAAAAAATGACGGAATACGGTTCTTCACTGCGTTAAAGTTGGTTTCATGTTCATTTACTCGGATTTCTTCAAAATGAATCCAACTTTCGTGGTATAAACGGCTACAAAACAGGTCTGTTTACCGAGATGTAGGTCGGCAAACGTAGAAAGTGGAGGGACGTTGGGATGAAATGTTGATGGTGTACATTATAGATTGTAGCTTCCTATAAGAAGACCGTTCCCCTTTGACCGCTACAGTATGTAACCCAGCCAGGATGTACAGGTTCTGCATCCTATCAATGAGCTTTGTCCTTGTATGCTGTAGTTCCACCTCACGCTGGCATCTCGCCTGGATTAACCACGTGACTGTAATGTATAGATATAAACCAGTAGCACATCTGACGTGTATCATAAGGTATCTTATCTATATGTCACATAACGTTAGTCATCGGCCATTGAGCAATTCTCCATCGTGACTAGGCGTTCAAGGAAGCGACGTGTACAGTCAGTTAGTAACGTCACGCTGTTTTATGATCACCATTCAGTCATTTTGCACGTTCATGGAGGGCAGTTGGTGTCTCTGCCGTCCAGCAGCAGCCCGTGAAAATGCCTCAGCCCAGAGTCAAGTTGGTCGTGACCGGAGATGATTTTGGGTACTGCGAGAGGAGGAACCGGGGGATCGTGGACTGTTTCAAGGACGGAGCGATCTCCAACGTGTCCCTGCTGGTCAACGCCGCCTCGGCGGAGCACGCAGCTGAGCTGGCCAAGAGGTGAGGAGCTGTAGACCAGAAGAGACTTCCCAGGGCTAAGAGGTCATCACCAAAGATGGGTGACTGTCACTCAAATGCATCTACATTGAAGTGATATTTCACTGATTTTTCAAAATTTCTGTGTAGTTAAATCTTGTAAAGATGTAAACAGTCATTCAGAGTGTTTTGATATGAAATAGTTCATTGTAGAGAAACCTACTGACACAGTGTTGGTGGTAGGAATCAGGGGTCTTAAGGTCTACAATGCAAATATAGCATATTAAGTTATTAACAGAACCTATTCATGTCTTTTGAGTTTTTATCTGTAATGTTGATTATGGTAAAATAGTGGTAAAGAAAAAAATACTTTGGACACTACGTTGCCTTACAACGGCTTCTGTGTATTTCGAAAAATATGTTTTAGGCCAAAACCTTGTCTAAACTGTTGTTATACAACATCTCAGGCATCAAGCCACATATTTAAAGGTATTTCCTGTAATAGCTTTCTGTGAAGTGACAGTCTTGCATGGCAAGTTTTTATAAAACGGAGCATTTCACATCAAAACACTCTTAGTGACTTATGCTAATTTTGCAAAATTTGAGGAATATTCCTTTTTCCCTTCTTCTCCTTTTTGAATTTGTGAATTTCTGGCTACTTTCAAGTAGACTGTAACAAAGTAGACCATCACAGTCCCTAATTCCATACACTGATTCTTTTTGGAGTATTTTCTGATGCTATTACAAGCACTTGAGTTAGGTGTAGGCTACTGTACTCACTTATGGGAATCACAGTAAGTGTAAGAAAGATAAGAGGGGAAATTTCCAGTAATTTTCATACAGTGTTCATACAGTCTTGTCTTACTACTCTCATGTGGTTCTTTATCACACATGAATAATACAAATGGGTCCTGTTACTCTGACCTGTGTTTTTCGCCTCAGGCATCACATTCCTATTGGACTCCATGCCAACCTCTCAGAGGGTGCTCCAGTGTGTCAGGAGCTGAAGAGATCCACACTCATTAACAAAGATGGCTTCTTTCATGGCAAAATGGGCTTCCGCGAAGTTTTACAGAGTGGACAGATGAACATGGCAGAGGTATGCATTACAGGCACATGCTGGCACTCTCACAAAATAGGATGTCCTGGTGGGCATTTACACACAAGTCAAAGATCAACTTTGTGGGAGGCATTATTTACATACATTAATCTGTCTCTAGACTTCTCCTTCTTGGTTTATCTAGATATGACCACAGTTGAAAGTGGCAAACAAACATTACAGCAGAGGCTAAGACAAGTTTTACACAGGTCGCTACCTCAAATAAAGCTGAGTGAGAACCTCAAATAAACGTCATAGTTCTTGTTCTAGTGACGCTGTCTGTGACTTTCCCATTTCCCAATAGTTCCTGTCCACATCACTGTGTTCATCAGGATGTAAACAGTAAAAACTCACTGTGTTCATCAGGATGTAAACAGTAAAAACTGATCCTAGATCAGTACTGTTAATCTAAATGGTTGATGAAAGTGGTACTTTGATACTGGAGAGTATTGAGACTAGGAGAGGGAGGTATGGCAAAAATATAACATCACAATACTCATTTTTTTGATACATGATTTGTGTCACTGACTTTTATTCAAGCGCACTACACTAAATCAAATTAAACATGCCTAAATATGCTTTGTTTTAGCATTGAATATGCAGTTGTTCACTGTTCTTTAAGTACTGACGATATCCATGATGTGCTCAGGAAAGCATATTGTAATGTAACAGCACAATAAGTTCTTTAGGCATGTATCCTAAGAAGGGCTGTTAAAATACCTTACAGATACATTAGACACTAAAATCAAACAGTGAATCATTCTCATTCTAAGAAAACTTCTTTTCTCTGATTGATAGGTGGAGGCGGAGCTCAGGGCTCAAGTTAAGCGTTTTTGTGAGCTCACTGGTCACCTGCCCGGTCACATGGACGGCCACCAGCACGTGCACGTGTTGCCAGGTAACAGCACTTGCCATTGATATTATCTTGTTTTTCCCACAACTTCTGTTAAGGTTTTATGTTTCTTGCTGCAGCCTGGTTAAAAATGACATACCTCCAGTTTGCAACTCACAAAAACATACAGATACAGATAAAGCTACAGGCAAATCTGTGTCTCACTTGGTGTTGGTCTTTGTGTCTGGATGTTTTCAGAGGTGCGAGAAGTGTTCGCGCAGGTACTCTCTGACTTTGGGATCTCTTACACACGCGTCCCAGTGGAGCCTGGTCTCCATTCGTGTCCTTTTTTACCTCCTCATCTCAGAGACTTCTACTTGCAAGTTGAGAAAGACGCCCTCCAGTCTGTGGAGGTCTTCCATCGCCATGGCATCAGGTGTGCCACAAAAACGCACGATATAACAACACAATCATGTTTTGTTATGAATAAAAAGCAGGAAACACTTGATCTGTAATAAAGTACAATAGTCAGTTAATGATGTGTTACCAAAGTGGTTAGGCACTGTTATATGTAATCATGGAAAATCCTAATTACATGAATTACACAGTGTAGGCATAGCGTGAAATGCCTATGTTTTCCTGAAGGAATTAGAGGGTTTGTCTCTGAATAGCAAACAGTTAGAAAAACATGGTGCATGAAAGAACATAAATAAAGGTTATTTAGTATGTGGTCCTGCATGGCAACAACCAAATTAAAAATAACAAACATATAAAAACAATGTCACTTTGAAATGTTTTGTATTTTAGATTTTATTGCTGTGCAAACAGTACTGTGCAAAAATCAGTGAGCTTTATTAATTCAATTTCCAGTCAAAACAGCCATTTAGTACGAGTTACTAAATTCTCAGCATCTGAAAAAAATGTTTTTTTTTTTAGCTTTTCAGTACTTAGTGTGTCCAGTTTTTCAGTATTTAGTGTGTGGACTTTTTTCTTATCTTGAAAAGATAAAAGCTTTAATTACTGTTTATCTGATGGGGACAGTTTTTGTGGTCCATCAGGTATTGCACGGTTGTGGGGAGTCCCAGTCTCTGTATCCTTTATTTATATCCAAAGTTTATTTATATCCTTATATCCTAAGTTTTTAAACTCCAGTTGCTGTTTTTTCACTTATTTTCCTTTGACTTTCCCCTTTCTTTCATAAATGGATTATCTTGTATCTAATCTCCCCAAACATCTCCTGAAAAATGAATAGCTTGTACTTAATGGTTGTTTTGACTGGACATTAAGTAAGTGAAGGATGGTATCTGACTTCTCCACAGTACTGTACAGAAGAACCTTCATCAGTGTTAATAACCTTCATTTATGAAAAGCTTTATAATTACTGATGTGAATGAGACTACAGGACCCATAGCACATAATTATTAAAATAATTGTTGATATGCTTCTACAGATGGCCAGATGTGTATTTGGGCCTCACTACAATGGGGCAGAACATGTCCTTTGCAAACCTCAAAAGAGCACTGGGCTTCGCTATGGAAGCACAGACATCCATAGCGCAGGACGATGACCTCGATGCCTCTGACCTGTATCAGCCAATCACGGTGGAGCTGATGGTGCACCCTGGGTATCCGAGTCATCCTCTGCAAGGTGGTTGTGGCGAAGGGCCAGATGACTTCTCGCAGTCCTCCGATCGTCTGCATGAGCTTAACACACTGAGGGACCCAGCGCTGCTCAGCTACTATAAGCAGCAGAGAATCCTCCTCTGTGCCTTCAACGACTTTTAAACACTTAAAGGCCACTTAACCGGGTCCTCAGGTGCTGCTGGTCTCAAGGGGTTTACAAGAGACATAGAATGTAACACCTGACTTAACTAATGAGCTTTTCTCCAGATCCTCAAAGGATAAATCGGTTACATAGTCAGGTGGTGCAAGACCTGGTTAGCAAAGGTAACGGAAGATGTTTACATCCTCCTGTGTCGAAGTGCAATGTTGTTTTTGTGCTTTGGATACGTTGGTCTTGGATCAATGTCCAAATCTTAATACCAGACATTGGAGATAAGATGCTTAGGAACAACATCAAATCGCACATTGTTCACTGTGACAGAGGTGTCCTCAGTCAGGGGTCATGCTTCATGTAGTTCTCTTTATTACAAAATGAAGGTGTTTTTAGGTAACAACCTCAGTAGAAAACCATAGGGAACCACCCCTAAGGGTGTGTATTTTTATTAAATATTACCGATTATTGGAAAGTTTTATGACGTTTTAACTAAACCGGGCCATTCCCAAAAGTTGGAACCATCCGATTTGTGATTGTGTTGCACATGAAGATGGCAGTGTCCAACTGAGCATGTAGCAATTACTCTGTATTTTTTAAAAAAAATGTATATGTATATATTTTGCACATTTTTCTTACATGTACTGTATCAGATGTATTTATGATATTTTTGGTGTAACATTATTTGAATTAAAATCACAACCCTTTTATTCCACACGATAGCTGATATATTTTATTGTGTCCAGATAGAGATACGAGCACTAAACACAGTTTTGTAGTCTGAGCTGAGGGAAGAGATCACTGTTGCAAAACACGTCTGTATAAAAAGCAAACTAGTATTACTGGACAGCTGAATCCAGCTGATTCTCCTGCAATAGCTGATGACCTGTGAAGCTTTTAAATGGATGAAGACAGACAGTGTGGTGCCATAAGCTTCTCAGAATGAACCTGTTCACAGCACTCACATAAATTCAAGCAGCTGATCAGTACACAGAGCTGTTACCCAGGGCCTAATGAGAGCCAGCATGCTTTCTGGGAGGTTAAAAACAGAATCGGAAAGCGAGCTTAGAAGAGACATGCTCTGTAAGCCCTCTTAGCTATCAACTTACAATCTGCATTAAAGAAAGGTTCTGTTAGGAAACAGGTGATAGTAGTAGGAGTAGCCCACTTACTATGCGAATCTTCATGAATATGGGCCAAGATCTAGAATTTGCCACCCTAATGTTTATTGGAAAATACACTGACGGGCCACTTCATTATGTACACCTCCTTGTTTCTACACTCTTTGTCCATTTTATCAGCTCTACTTACCATCTAGGAGCACTTTGTTGTTCTACAATTACTGACTGTCACTGCTGGACTGAGAATAGTCCACCAACCAAAAATGTCCAGCCAACAGTGTCCTATGGGCAGCGTTCTGTGACCGCTGATGATGGTCTAGAGCAGTGGTGTCAAACTCAAACACTAAAAGGGCCATATAAAAAAAAATGCATCAAATCTGTGGGCCAGAGAAAAAAATGTTTTTATTTATTTGTAATTAATGTTGTGCTGTAACCCAAACTGGCCATTGTTTATTCAAAATATGCCAAAACTTCAGCAGTAGACTTTTAGTCTTCTAAATAGGTAGCTATTTGCTTGAACTAAACACCTGGCATCTTTTTATTTGCTGCAGTTTCATTAATTCTTGGGCTGATTTCTGATTTGATGAGCTGACATTGGTTTATATTGGTTGAACTGCAGCTGAAATGCAGCTAGTGTGTTTGGTGATATGACTGGTGTAGAATTGAGGTGTAACTGCTGTCCCATAGACTATTGTTGGGGTAAGAGAGTCGGAGCACATTACGTTGCAGTGCATGCTGGGGACTGTAGTGCAGTGCATTGTGAAACGGGCTAATATAAACAAATGTAAAATACTTTTGCGGGCCAGATAGGATTGTGTGGCGGGCCTGATCTGGCCCGCGGGCCTTGTGTTTGACACATGGGGTCTAGAGGATGACCAACACAAACTGTGCAGCAACAGATGAGCTACTGTCTATGACTTTACACCTACAAGGGCGGACCAACAAGGTATGTTTATCTAACAGAGCGGACATTGAGTGTTTAAAAAGTCCAGCAGCACTGCTGTGTCTGGTCCACTCGTAACAGCGCAACATCAGTGTTAAATAATAATACCTGCTTTGTGTGGGTCCTGACCATTGAAGAACAGGGTAAAATGGAGCTAACAAAGTATGCAGAGGAACAGATGAACTACAGTCTGTAATTGTGCATCTATATGGCAAATGGACTAGATAAAATGGAAAAAAAGTGTAGATACAAGGTGTACTTAATGAAGTGGCCAGCTGGTGTAGTTCATGCTGGGCGATTAAAAACACAATGTTTTTCATTTATACCTGTAGAAGATATTTAAGTTTGTTTAATTAAGTAAATGATCTCCTGGTTTCTGAGTGCTGAGTGCTCTGTACTAAAATGTCTTACAAGCTTGACATAGATTGTCTTGATTGGACCATTTTGTTCTTCTTCTGTTAAAATTACACCAAGAAAACAGTATTGTAGGTGGTAACCTGACATAGACTAGGCTTCCATAAAGAAAATTTAGTTTTCTAATTTAGTTTATATGTGTTTCAAACTGCTTTCAAAACTGATGTACCAAGCAAATGGCATACACTGCAAATAATGACATTTTTTAAAAAAATGAATAGTTATATGCTGATATTATATACTAGTGTAGATGATCTATTGGCCAGCACTAAACATAGTAGTCATACATTAGCACACTCAAGCAATTCTAGGCCCGTTTTCACATACATGGATTAAGCTTAGTCTTGGACTAATTTGCATTATTGATTGTGAATCACCATTGGACATTCTTTTCAGTCTAGGTTTGGCTTAGTCTGGGTCTGGGAAACTGGACCCAAGTGTGGTAGCATTGCTGTTTATAGCATGAGTCGAGGTTCTGGGAGGCTGGATTCCTGTACATTTTGGTGATTTCTTTACTCAAGCACACCTGATGCAACCCATCTGTTTAACCGGCAGGTTTGGTTAGTGTGCTAGAGCAGGAAAATCACCAAATGCTGCCAAACTCCAGCCCTCATTTACCTACCACTGGTTTATAGTCCGAGATCCACCAATGGTTCTCTGACATGCTGCCACCTTGTGGTTCTACATGGTGAGATAAAAAGACTCACAAGTCTTGTTTTAAAAGATGACCAATGCTGCCATGGGTACCATGTAGTCACAGGCAAAATTTTTATTACTTTTTCATGTTTAATTTCATTCTGTTACGTTGGGGGCAGCATCTGTACTGCTTTGTGATTGGTCACACCTCTGACTTCAGAGGTTTATCATTTTATTTTAGACCAAAGGACACAAAATAGAATTAAAGCACCTAACAAACGTCTGTTGCTATGCAAATAGATGCTGTATGTACTAAGAAGTTCTGCTGCAGTTCCCTATGTTGCTCAGTACGCAGTAGTCTTTTGACCTGCAACATCTGTTCTTCTAAAATTGCTATTTGGAAAGGTACTTTCACTCCTACTTAAGTCATTATTTCACCAAATCAGTAATAAGGGGTTTAAACTACTCCACCCACCTTTACAATAGGCTACCTCTCAATGTATGTCAGAAATACTTCTTGTGAAAAAATTTATGTAAGCTGTGAAGTTTTAAGTATAATTCATTCATGCCATTTTCAATATCTCTGTTTATAAAGCTCTTTTTGACTGGAGAGGCCCAGACAAATAGTCTTGTTGGTTAGCTGGCTTTATTAGGAAATCGTTGACCAATCAGAGAGTCAGCACACTCAGAGTGACCAATCAGAGTCAGCCGCTCTGTATATAACGTCATTCTCATGACTGTACACTTGGTCTTCCTTTACTTCTTTTCCTTTTAATTCCAATACACAAAATATGTGAAGTGGCTGTAAAAGAATTCATACAATTTTGTGAAAATGAGCCTCAGCTCCTAGAACCGCTGATATTTCTGTCTGAAAGGTGCAAAGTGGCTTACAGGGGCAAACTGCCAGTGGCTAAAGTTTCTGAATACATAATCGGCCAAAATGTCTACTTACAGGCCTACTAATGAAAAGTGCGAAATCACACCTCCTCTGTAATACCTACTTCACTATCAAGTACATCTCGGCTAAAATGGTGAGAGAAGAGACGAGTAGGTCATGACAGTCTGTTTGATAGACTGAATACATGAAAGTAACTGCAAGAGCATATTCTAATAAAGACCTCTGCTGACAACTACTCTTTATTCTTAGGAGAAATGAGCAACAATGATCTTTTTTGTTGTTTAGCCTCAGGAACGTATAGATCTGTACACCTAGAGGCACAATTTCCATTAATGGCCAAATCCAAATGAAGGAACAAAAAAGATGTTTCTGTGAAACGTTAAAATAAAAGGTGTTTTTAAAATTAGTAATCATCATAAAAGTATGTTCACTCACACAAAGACCGTTTTTATCCTTCCATTTCTTTTTTTTTCCATTTGTGAAACAAAGAACTTGATAACAATATTGGTGTCTAGGCTGCCTTTGTTAGACTACTCAGTGGATCTGCAAATCTGAAGTTTGCAAAGGGGCGGAGAGGAAGCCGTCCCACAGAATACAGTGCAACTCAAGAAGCGCAGTGAAAGTAAAAAGATCAGTATGAAAAAAAAATTACTGCCACACTCCTCCAGTATCAAGCTGTGTAACCTCCATCACCTCGTTCATTTTCAAACATCAAACAGTATCTTTGTTTTGGAGCGCACAAATAAGAATAGGGAACAACAGCAACAAAAAAAAATATTATACATGATAAATTACACATTTTCCTCTTTTTGAATAAGCTGACACTTCCGAAGTCAGATCAAAGAAGTGCGTACTAATGCAGTGATGATTTCACTCATAATAAGGTCAATAACAGCATACAGATATTGAGATATCCCAATACAATTTCTAATTCCTTTACCACCTTTCCAGTCTTATGTTCTCCCCTATCCAATTATTTTGACATGTTTAAACTTTAAACTTAAAGAACAGAAAGACAGTAGAAAGTTAGTAAGGGCCTCAAGCTAACACCAGGCAGAGAAACTGGTGAGATATCCACACGGAGTCCTGCTTTAAAACGGAGGCTGCAGCTGTGGTGCAATTCTCCAACTCAACTAGAATGACACGTGTGTAGGGAATTGGAGTGGGAGCAGAAGGAGGAAAAAGAAGGAAAAGGGAAGAGGGGAGGCAAGGGGAGGGGAGTAGAGGAGAATTTATGTTTGGGAGGAGAGGGGCTACACACTTGTCAGGTATCATTAGTCCACTGGCCGCTTTTCACCGTGTTTCTTTGTAAACTCTTCTGCGTTCTTAAAGAATTTTTTACGGTCCTTTGAGTATTCTTCTGCTAGGTCGGCCCTCAGGGGGTGTTCTGGCTGTGGGTCATTCACCAGGGCGATGAGCGACTGAATTACTGAAAAACAAAACAGCCAAATACACACCTTTAGGCAGAAACACCAACAATGTATTCGGTTCTGTATATGAGCTGATTCCAGCTTTTTCATGACAGTTAACATAAAATAAATTATCTCATAATCTATTATACAAACTATGGAAATGGTTCTTTGGCTTTTCATGTTGTAATCTCATTTCACGATACACAGAACAATTGCCATGATATGACATGGTCTGTATCTCATTTCTTTACTGATTTGCGAGGCTTGGAAGCACAACACTTGGACTGTCACGACTCATCAATTAAACCTGATTACTGGATTTAAAATTGATTAAAAGCTTTCTCATTATCAGCAGTGATTAGCTGGCAATTTACACAATGACAATGTATATTTAAAAAATCTTTCTCTTACAGTGATAAACTATATATTATATATACACACACACACACACACACACACATATACATACATATATATAAAAATGTAAGTCTTTTTAAAGGGACCATCAAGTCAACTGCAAATATTAAAAATCTCAATGTTCTTTAAGATTTATGACTCGATGAACATTGACCAAAGCCTTAACCGTAACTCAGATTTAACCACAGGATCAGGACTGTGTGAGCGTGTTAGAGTGCAAAGTGACTGAAAGTAGCCACAGCAATGTAAACCACCCCACAACAGGTACAAGGGAGCAGTCTCTTTCAATATAGTCCCCACCAACTCAAATCCAGCAGAGGAAACATGACAGTGCTAGAATCTCTCAATGAAAACAACCAACAGTTAATTTCTACTGTTTGGCCTTTTCCAAAAATTCCATTTAATCTTTGTTGAATACTTCAACTAATATAATCAATAGTGACAGCACTGTACAGCACAAAACTCAGGGCTGCTTTATAACACGGCCTGTTGCTTCCAGCTCATTTGCAAAGGGGTCGCTCACCTTGGTCAGTTTTGGTGGCTGGTTTCCAGTTCTCTGCACTAATGACAGGCAGGCAGACCTGTCCTTTCTCATCAATGTTGGGGTGGTAGATCTTCGTCTTGAACGTGATCTTTGGGGGTTTGAAAGGATATTCTGCAGGGAAGATGATCTCGATCCTGAAGGCCCCTTTGTCGTATGGAGGGTTATCCTGGAGACGAAGGAAATTGATGTTCGTCATAAATCTCCAAAACAATCTCATAACCAAGACCTCATAAATGTTAAAAAACAAAAGCATATTAAAAAAAGCATCTAAAAACCTGTATCTCTCATCAGAGAAGTACAACATGCACAAACTGGAAGTGAAATTTTACTGACAATAACACAAGAAAATCACTTTCAGTCAAGTATCAGATCTGAACAAAATGAGCTATGGTGGAATAACATTTCTCTTGTCAATTAAGCACAAAAAATATATATTTGACTCTTTAACTAAAAAACTCACTTACTGGAACAATGAGGCCCTGCCATGTCAATATATTCGATTCATCGACTTGAATGTTACGGAAGTTTTTCATTCCAGATTTGCGGATTTCTTCAAGCTCCTGCAAAGGTGAACAGATAGGAAAGTGTGACTGTAATGAACTGGTCAGTTTGCTGGACATTAAGGCCAGCCCTTTATGGATCGTTCTGTGGTATACAACAAGCAATTCCACATAGAGGTTACCCCAGACACCAAAATTTTATACGGAATTAACCCACTGATAGCAGTTTGTCAGTTGTTCTAGACTATTCTTAATCTGCGTCCACAAAACTCGTCGAGCGAGTTTAAACACTACACCATTCCTAAAGCGAAGACGACCCATCTCCACAACATCCACATGCATGCGATTTGTTATGTATTTTCACATGTATCCTGTCAGTACGAAGACAGCACCATTTAGTGTTAAACAAGGGGTCTATAAATAGATATCCCCTCATAAGGATAATCTTGTGATTTGTAATTTCCCTTCCTCACTACAAAGACCTAATTGAGCAGTTACAGCCTCTCTTATCAGATGAGGAAGTGTCCTCCTTGCAACTACAACACTTTGACACTGTGTGAATGTACAAGTCTCTCTTAACCATGCTGGTTAAAGAAAAACTGGCCTCTCTAGCATAGAAACGTGTGAAAAGGCCGTCTCAAACAGGACCAGCGTTAACATAAGACATATCAGTTCTCAGGAATGAATGAACAAACTCGACAATCTTCATAGTTGTGGGTGGCTGACGAACGAAAAGATTCCTGAAGTGAAACCTTTTCAAGCATGCCAAACTTGCGCTTTCGGTTTTTCGTAAGGGCGTTAGCTAGCTAACCTAGGTAGCCCACCTTGCTAAAGCTAACCCCACAGCTACAAAAAACCGGCTTTCGCTAAACAGCCTCGACGTTTTAGCCTCCGTGGACCAGACCAACAACGTTAATTATATTAATAATGCCAATGTTTTTGTTTTTAGTCGACCACCAGCCGGGCGGCTTTGGCTGCTTTCACGTCCGGCCACTTGAAGTTAATAATAAACTACAAAACAAAAAGGTAAAAAGGGCTGATTTGCCCAAAACTGTGGCGAAAAAGGTCACGCTGATAGCTGTCTACGCCACCGACAGCGCTAAATGTCACGGATATCGAGCAGCCAAGTTCAACACGCCGAGCTGACAAGGGCTCTTTGGCCCTGTTTATAATACCACAATACTGTTAAGCCACCAAGTCGCAGACTTTCAGCCCTTTTTTGTAGACTTCTGTTATTCATATTCAACGAGATGAGACCTAAACAGCAAGGAGACAGAATATATTACGGCTTTCCGTCCCTCAAACCCGGCTTTTCTGCCCTCTCTCTGTCTCTGTTGACGAGGCTGAAGTTGGCTTCCTATTCGCCAGCTTCTTGTTCGAATTCTCCCGTTCCACCTTAAATGATGCAGCAGTTACGTTCTGAGCCCTCAGGCGCCAGAATGTAACTGCTGCACCATTTAAGGTGGAACGGGAAAATTCGAACAAGAAGCTGGCGAATATGAAGCGGATCGGCGGAGCACTTCTTTCGAACGCGGCTAAATCGCGAACGAGCGGGCGAACGGGGCAACACGTCGTGGGTTTCGCTTCCCGGGCGTTTAATGTAACACAAAGATGTCGTTTGAACTCACATACATGCTAAAATATTTATTTTAAAAGCGAGTTAAGGGGTACTACCTTGTGCAGCCTCCTGCTCGCAGCCATCTTGGATCGTCCAACTGCTCCCACAGTGCACCGCGGCCGCGAGGCCTCTTCAAAAGTGAGGTTTAGTTTCAGCAGGAAGAACTACAAACTGGTTTTCTTAATCTTTTTTTACGTGCAGTCAGCTCTTTACTTTTATCTGCATCTGCAATCAGTTATTTAGTTTCACCTTTGCCCTGCAGTCTGCTTTTTAACTCGTTGAAGTGCTGCAGAAGAGGGACCTGGAGGAGGCATGATGCCAGATCTGGGACTGTGGGTACTTTCCATTACAAAGCAATAAAAAAATGTACTCTCTGCAGTTTGGCTTAATGTTATGTTGTTAGTTACACCACTGTCATACAACAGTTTCTCATTCCGTCAACCTTCAGTTGTATGAAAAGCAGTTCTGATGACCTGCTGAGAGGGAGAGAGAGTAGATGTGATGACCTCTAAGCATCAGTCACATGTACTGAAGTGAAATATTAATTTAAAGGGCTGTATTTTAAGGGGGAATTCCAGAGATTTTTCCAAACCATGTAAGTCAATTATCGAGATGTAAACAGTCATTCAGAGTGTTTTGATGTGAAATGGTTCATTGTGGAGAAACTTGGAATGTAGGGAATGTATCTACAGTGATGGTGATAGGAACCAGGGGTCGTGATATCTACAACACAAAATACAGCCATTTATTCAGCATCCAAAACAACTATTAAACCTGCACATGTCTTCTGAGATTTTATGTGCAATGTTGATCTTCTTGGGGTACTACCTTGCCATACGATAGCCTATGTGTACCTCTTTGTCCTGCATGTATTAAAATTTTTTAAAACTTCAAAACTATAGTTACCATGTCTTAGGCGTCAGGCAGCATAACTTTATGTGTGGCACTTTTCAGAGACATTAAACACTTCAGACGTCTGGTTCCTATCACCACCACTGTGAAGAATTTTGACACTGTAAGTTTCTCTAGACGAACCATTTCAAATCAAACCTCTCTGAAAGACTTTGTCTACATTTTAATGGTTAAATTATGCATAATTTTGACAAATTGGTGGAATTCCTTCATAAATGGTAATATATTTGTGTTTAATTCTGAAGTATTAGTTCTCAAGTTTTGTTATATTTGTTCACATTTATTCACATCCCTAATTCCTTTTTTAATTTCATTATTTTCTGTCTTGTGACAACATATGGGCTGCTTTCCTGCTGTTCCCTCTCACTTTTGGGGTGCAGCATTTTATTTTAGACCAAAAGAATTCCCTAAAAGAAAGAATAGCTCCTAATACACTTTAGTTCCTGTGCTGATGGGTGCTGGGTGTATTAAAATATTACAGTGAAGTTATATAGGGAACTCACTATTTCTCCCTTTATTTTATTTTTTTTTACTTTTTTGACTTATACTCCTGTTCAATTTGTTAGTTCAGGCCTAAATCCCACATTGATACATTACTGATTACTGAAATGCTAAACCATAAACTTCACTGAAACATTTACAGCATTTTTATTGAGTCCAGATTTATAATGAAGCCAGCCAATCAGTTTCTCTTTGGCTTTAGAAGATGTGAAGATAGCTGTGAATGACGTTATCACGTTAAACAAACGAACCTGTTCCCCAACATTATGAAAACTAGTTCATGATTTGGTTTTGAGTTCTATTCTTTGACCAAAAGATGTCACTCTAGTATCAGAAACATCTCTGCTCAAACTGGAATCTCACATTCAAGATCTCAGCAGTCCTGTTTGTGTTGATTAAGAGAGGCTAAAACAAGACTGATCTTATATCAGTAGTTTTTTTGCCCTCTCAGCCTCATATTTTGCATAAATCATTTAGGAACTAGTAGCCTTATTACACTTTTGTTATATTTAGATATGAATAGTCCTATGAAGAATTTACAGGGGGCGCTAGTGGGGATGCTAAATGAATTTCAGAGGCTGCTTTAGCACTCCTAACAACCCCAACACCTTCATTTCTTATGCTGATAGATGGTGGATGTACTAAGAAGTTCCACTGCAGTTCTGTAAGGTTTTTTGACCTGATACTTTTATTTTAGTAGTTAGTTAGCACATCCACACTGTTGTCCTGCATTTTTCTTGAACTTTACTTTTTTCCCTGTGGGTCCACTGATAATGTTTGTATGGTTTAATTGTACAAAAAAGGGCACAATTCATTTTTACACAACCATTTTCCAACCTCTCTTTACCCCAGGCTATTTTTGTTATTGTGCCATTAAGATAAATATGTGCAAATGAGCTCTGTTCTGATTGACTGTACTCTGTTATGTCTCATTCAAAAAACAGTCCAGGCTGAAACAGTCTTTATAACTTCAGTGTCAATGGGTAGATATTTGTTAATGTGTTAGGTATGGTGACATTTCAAAAATAATGAATTGAAACCCAACTGTTTAGTTTCCATATACACTGTGAGCTTGGATAAGTTAAATTTACTTAAAAAATTTAAGGAAACCGGTTGCCTTAAAAAAATTAAGTAATGTGTAATGAAAACTTGAGTTAGAATAACTATAATTTTTGAGTTAGGCTAACATAAACATACGTTTGCACAACTCGTAAATTCTAATTATTTTAATTTAACGTCTTGAAATTGCAATTTAACTATATGTTTCATTAAGCAATTGAGACTTTTTTTATACTTAAGTGATATTAACCACTTTGCCAAACACCAAAGGGTTAACCTTTACTGGGAACATGGTCACTGACCAACATGCCCACTCATTAGCAAAGAAAATGATAACCTTCACTCTTAGCCAACAACACAATGTCAGGCAGCTGAATAAAGCATAGATAAAAAACATTTGCCTGAGGAAAGACAGCCTGGGTGGAGTGAAAGCACACTGACGGTGAGTAAAACAAAGGGAAAGAAACACTCAGTATGCAAATAGATGGAGCCCAGAGCCAATGGGAAAGAAATATACATTTTATCTAATAAAATCGTGTTAACAAAACAAACATGTAACTGTATTTCACACACTGCAAAACGGTAAGATGTCTGGCAGCAAAAGTTGCCAAACAGTTCCTGTAATTTTACAGTAAAATTCTGTACAGTAGATGACTGTAAAATTAAAGCTTTTCCTTGTAAATATTCTGTGTAATTTTACGGCCAAAGTTTAGTAGAATTACAAATTTTTATCGTTAAAAACATCTCTAGAATGTATTAAAATCATGGAAATACTGCATAAATACACTTAAAGTCTGCAACTTGAGGGTTGCTATCTTTTAAATAACAGTGTAATTAAGTTATTTCATAGAATTATTTAATCATTTACAACATGCACCTGTCGAAGTAGATTTTTAAAGTAAAATAAAGAAACATTATTTAAATTAACAGTCATTTTACTTTCAAAAAAAAGTCTTTTCAATCCTATTAAACATTTATCAACAGACATAATCTGTCAATAAATGTTCTTATCCTACAAATTTACAGTGGATAACAATTAAATGTCGGTTGATCCACCTACCAACTATCACAATGTACTGTTTATCCACAAGACACCCCTGTTACATCACTGGATTCTACTGGTTAAATACAGAAATACAATGCAAAATTACATGTAATTACCCCAATATTAAAGTAGATGGTTAACATTTTCATTTTATCGTTCAGTATATTCACAGAAATTTGCCATTATCAAAAAATTATATACCATAATTTTGTGGTCATTTTGTTATATTCCAGTTTTTATACAGGAGTCAATATACTCAATTACATGAACGTTCTGCACAATTACCTTTCACTTCAGCAGATATAAGAATGGTGTACTTTAATTTTACATAAATACACAACAGCCAATACACTATTGCTCTTTTAAAACAATGTAAAACCTTTGGCCAGAACAATAAAACCTCAACAATAATACATACTTTCAATCTTTTTATTTTGACAGTTGAACTTTAACAATCATAACATCACCCAGCAACCTAGCATTCAAAATAAACACCAAATGGGGGCAAAAAGATAGCTACTGTGAATCTTTCTACAGTTTTAAAGATTTATATTGTCTGTCTAAAACAAACAATAATGTGAATTAGAGCACTAATTACCTCCTGTATCATTCTTGATTTATCTGTAGTTTGGACTGTAACAGCACGTGCTTATTAAAAGATTCAGATTGGAACTGCAAGAGAAAAAAGTTTCTTGATTTCATTCACACATGCTCAAAACAAAGCCAGCAACCTGAAGGACTAAGCAACCACACTACACTCAGGACTCAGCTACACTGAATATGCCTCTAGAATGAGGACTTTTAGCTAATACAAAGCACAAGTGTCAATAACAGAACCTAGTACTGCAACAGTTATTACAGTCCTTAAAAGGGGCATTTTCAACAATGACAGTAAGATGGAAAGTGTGCTGACAATACAAACCCCAAAAAACTGGGGTCGGTCTCCTTTTGAACATGTATGGCACATCATGAAGAGCAGAATCAGACAACAACAACCACAGACTGTTGAGCCAGAACTCAATGAGTCCTAAGCAAGAACGGGCAAAAATTCGACTTACAAAACTGTAACAATTAGCATCTTCATGTCCCAAACAATTAAAAAGTGGTATTAAGAGGAAAGACAATGTAACAGAGTGGTAAACATGCCTCTGTCCCAACTTTTTTTGAGTGTGTTGCAGGCATCAAATTCTAAAATTATTTTAAATAAGTTGGTCAATGAAAACACTGGAAATCTTTTCTTTATACTTTTGTCAGTTAATATAGATTCAAGAGATTTAACAAATCATAGTTTCTTGTTTTATCACATTTTACAAAATGTCCCAACTTTTCTGGAAATAGGGTTTGTATTTTAAGGAATGGGACTTCATGATCTCATCAAATATCTCATAGAACAACATGTCACTGTTCATTCTCACTGTGCACTTTTGTTTTCTTCAGTCTCAGTCCACTCACCCTTAACCCTCTCTACATTTCAGTTTAAAGAACAACTCATAGAAAGATGACAGTCATCTGAGGAGGCATCCATAAGGAATATAATTCCAGGCTTTGGACACTGTGGGATCTCTCAATGATCTTGTTAGCTACCATTAAAGCAGTGACCACTGCCTCACCTGTGAAAAAAGAAAATCAAACATTTCTCTGTTTTAGACTGTAACCTGACACATCCTGT